CGACAGCTATCAGTGGCGAAGAGTTATTCAAAAAATGATGGCTGGCATTTAAAAAAAATTCGACAATAGTGATGAGTTTTGACCTTTCAGAAAAAGAAAATTGACTAACACCGTTTTTAGTTCTAGTAGCAGCCTAAAATTTCATATCTTTTTCTAGTAATGCTACTTTTACGCAAACAGAAAACCCGTTTTTGACACTTACCAAGTTTGCTTCAGTCTGTTGATTCGAAATAAACTTATGACCAAAATAATAATCAAATTTTAACAATATTTTGTTTTTGACCAAATTTTCAAATGGTTCTTCATCCTTAGTTGTCATCAAGTATTGCTTTAGACCACTAATTACAAAATAAGAAATTCCAAGTGTTGCATATTTTTGATCCGATAAAGTTACTGTTGCTTCATGGAAAGATTCAAGAACATTTTTCGATGCCATTAATAAAGACCAATCAATTCTTGAAAATGCTAATCGTTTTAAATGCTCATGTTGTCTTGCTTTGATTCCAATATCATTTGATGGATTTTGAGTGATATTTGTAATGATTGAGCTGTAAAGCAAAAACCGCTCTAGCATCAAATATGTTGTATTCCAACGCATTGCGGAATCAATAACGAAGTCTTTGAATTTGACATGTTGTTCTTGTTGATCTGGTGGTAAACCATAATTATTTCCTTGCAATTTCATTTTAATATGTTTCTTGACATAACGATCTAAAACGCTCAATTTATGGATGAAATTTACTAATTTTCGTACACGTTTTAATAATGAATGAACTGTTGATAAAAGTATAGTTTCATTATCTGTACATTCTTTAATAAATTCTTCATGTGATACATCAGTTGTGTTTGTGAATGTTTGTTCTTCTTCATCATTACTATCTGACGATGATGAATCTTCTTTTTCATCATCACAATCATTATTTGTTGATGATGTTGAAACTTCTTCTTCTCCTTCACCTTCTTCTTCTTCTTCTTCTTCTTCTTCTTCTTCTTCTTCTCTTCCTTCTTCATCATTCGATAATTCTTCATATAAAAAGTCGTCTGGAGTATCTTCACTATCAGCAACCGAAACAGCATCTTCATTTTCTTGATCATTATTACTTGATGATGCACTTTTCCTAAATATAGAGGCATAAAATTAGAAAAAATACAAGTAAAAGGAGAACAATTTCTTTTGAAAGACGGTACTGTTTAATGGAAAGAGAAATCATTGTGGCTAAATTCGAGAAAACGAAGTTCTTTTATCCTCTTCTGGTCTTTTTGACAGTCAGTCAAAATGAAAAAAAATAGAAACCGTTGTTTCTCTTTTTTTTTACTTTTTCTTTTTTGGTTTTTTATGCAACCATAAAGCATTTTTAATTGTTGAACTTAATAAATGAACTACGCATGATAATCTACTTCCTAAACCCATGTTTGACGTTGCAGCTCGAATGTCAGATCCGTTGTCTGTCGTAATTCCCCTAATTTTATTTTCAATATTCATCGTCTTAATTTCATTGAAAATAAATCGACGAAGTCGTCTCTTGGTATGGTTGTCAAGGAAACGTCGGACGGCTAATACAAAAGATTTTGCCTGGTAATGTTCATTCATATAATGTCCTCTTATGCACATGCAATAAGCTATTGTCGATGATTTCCATACATCACAAGTAATTCCAATGTCAGACACTTCTGATAACTGTTGCTTCAAATTCACACGATAAGTATTATATAATGATTCAAGCTGATGACGTACAACTTTACGATGTGGCCCCTTATAACTGAAAAGGAGAGAGAAATAGAAAATATTCATAACGAAAAAGCCAAAAAAAAGGTTTTATCAAGTTTCACCCTGGGATAGCGATATTTAGGAATTTCATCATGCCACGTTTACAAAAATCGTTTAGCGTTCGACCATCAAGATAAATTGCTTCTATAGCAGCCTTGTCGAGTGTTTTCTTGCGCTTAGTCGAAATTAATTTAACTTTTGGATGATAATTCTGTAATTGCGATGGATATAGAAATTCTTTTAAACCGTGTGGACCACCTAAATGTCGTCTTAAATTGGTGTCAGATGTTGGATCAAGTGTAAATGTCTAAAGGAGAGAGAAGAAAAGTAAGAAATGTTCTAAATGATCACCCAATATTTTGAGGACCGAGCTTCATCTCTAAAAAATTCGCCTATTTATATAAAAAAAGATATTATCTTTGTCCAAAACCGCAACTAACGTTCTTTCCTACGTATTTGGAACATTCAATACCTAACAAATCGCTTAAACGGAATAAATTTTTTAATGTATCAAACGTTGACAAGATGGACAACAGATATGACTTTAAATCTGGGAATGTTTTTTCTTTATCAAAAGAAGCAACGAGAACGAAAAAATAACTCTTACTTTTCGTGGATTCATACATAAATTACATTTTAAACCACCTTTAACTTTGCTGAAATATTCGAAAACATCTTCCTTTGTTATTCTTGTTGTTCTTTCTTTTGTTTTTGATGTTTCTATTTTATTACTTGCTGTTGAATCAGATCGTTGTCGTAATAGATTTTGAATCTCAATTTCTTCATTCACTTCTTCACCAGAATTATTTATTGTTATCGATTCACTATTGTCATTCATTTGTTCATCTGAAGATTTATCTTCAGTTGTAGCTGTCTTGGATGACTTGCTGATTATTGAAATGGACGATGATGTTGACCCTTTTCTTTTAGTTTTTACTTTTTGAGTTTTACTATGTTGATCAGGTATAACTGACGTTGGACTTGTCAATGAGCAATGTCGTGTTGTGAGTGGACTAGATGGGTTTGGATAAAGTTTTCTTGTATGTCTAGGTGTTGAATTAGAAGAAGATCGAGAACTCATTGGTATTCTCTTATAATCAAATTATTTGAAGGAAAGACTAAACAGAATGGTATTTTTCGTTTCAGATTAATAATATGTGAAACAACCGATCATTCTTTTTCTTTTTCTCGTTTTTTTCTTTCTTTCTCTGGTTTGTTGAACCGTGCAGAAAAAAAAGACGCTAGTGAGATATATATAGAAACTTTCAAAACTTGTCATGAGTCTCCATTTCCACTTTCTCTGTTCTATCTTTCACTCGCGTTCCTATTATATTATTCAAAAACAGCATGGTAATTAAGAGAGATTAGTACATGGTCTGCAATAAACATACACAAAAACGTTCACTGTGAACTTCTAAGGAGCAGAACAAGTTTCTCTTCGCCCTTTTGTTTAATTCTTAACTGAAGAAAACTTTTCAAAACTCAAAATAAACGAACGCAGATGATATTTAAGAGTGGCTAGTATCTAGCAGACTTCTTACATTCTTTTTACTCTCTTTTTTGACTTATTTCAATTTTCATAATGCTTTCTTTTTAATTTCTTTTACTTTCTTTCACTTTCTTTTCGAGTTTTTTTAAACTTTTTTCTTTATCGAACAGTGTAGAAAATTTAGCCCTCTCTTCTACAATACGAAAAATAGAAAGGGAAAATTTTGTAACTTTCCTTTCCTACAAGAAAGTGAAAGTACTGCCACTAGTAATCAATGACTGAAACAGAAAGTTCATCGTGTCATGAACTGGACTCTTTTTTCATAATACACCTGGAAGTTACAACTTCTTACATTTGTTTTTGATAGATTTTCACTATAATCAACCTTTACAAATTATCATCATCAAATAATCAAGCTGATCTTTTATTATCTTCTTCATAGATTCCAATGTCAGGAATGAAATCCATTTAAACATTATTTCAATCGAGGCTTCACAGGTGACTCAACCTTGTTTAATATTTTAATGTCGAAGGGATTATTTTGAAAATATTTCAAAGTACAGGCACATGTACTTACTGTACTTGTATTTGTTCAGCCTCTGAATGCCACAAGGTTATATCAATGATCCAAACTTGATCGTCGCCGCAATTGACGCTGTTGAGACGAAAGACAGAACCAAGCATGAAAAGTACTTCTGATTCATCAACAAAAGCGCTATGCATGCTGATATCCGCAAAAGGTTTCGTAGTGACCGTTGCAGGATCAGCCTCGATCTCAAATAAAACTCTCTCTGAGTCAATTATTTGGGTCGTATCACCCAGATAGAAGATAGCCGTTGAACGCTGGTTAGTGGTGGAAAGAAATGAGTTCACGGAAATGAACTGACCGATGTTTTGTCTAAGGCTGTCTAACTCATCGCTGGACATTAACTGGCATCGATAAGCTCGTAGGCGGTTCTTTGACTGATGACGCTGCAACTGACGATGGATGTCGGAGATGTACGAACGATACAAATAAATCATATGAAGATTTGGTTTGCGAAGAGCCGCATTCAAAGTCTTATAGAAGAAGGATTCACGAGTGTACCACCACAAAGCTTCGTTAGGTGAGTAATTCTGCTGGAATTCACAAAGTTTGGAGAGCTCGGAGTTGTTTCCTTCATATTCGTTCTTGCAACAAGTAAGAAGTTCATTCTTGTCCGTCTCATTAGATTCAGTTCGAAGACGGCAGTCGATAAGTAGCTGAGCAAAAACGAATTGACCATTGATTTCAGTTATCGATTTGCCTATACCCTCACTTGTATTGCATATGTTGATTGACAACGGTTCGTTCAGTTTCATCTGAAGTTTTTGGTCTATTTCGATTCGAGAAACAAGTTCATCAAGTCCAACGACAATGGCCTTCACCTAAAATGATGATGCATCGAGACTGAAACATGCCAGTACCAGTCTTACCTTTCCAAAATTGCTGGCCCATTGCTCATGGATATTCTTATCCTTGCAGTAGACATAGATCGACGAAACTTGTTGTAGTTTGTGAATAAAAGGTACTACTTCTCGACCTAATTGATCACTAACAATGAGTACTAATGGATTTTGCTTCGGCCTTTGTTCAATGTATTGTCGACATTCTTCTCCATTTTGAAATTCCTTGATATGATTGATGATGCTACGGAGTTTTTGCTGTGCATGTCTTATTTCCTCGGCATGGACATTGGTATCAAGCCAGATAAGACTGAATAGTTCGAGGGAGTCGTCGCCGCCGTTTCTTTGACGGCTATTGTTCGGTAACGTGTGCCTTAAAGATCGAAAAAAGGGAATTCATCACGCAAAAATCCTGTTATTTAATGGCAATCGTGAAAAGTGTCGCGCTTGTCAGCATGGTTCGTTTTTCAAATTATGAGAGAATTTTTCGCTTTGCAAAGTCGAGTCTGGCATACCCACAATTAGAAAGAGCTGTTAGCGTCATTCCTGCGATATTAATATGTGAAACATGATGGAGCTGCAAACATTGTAAATGAAATAATTTACCAACATGTTTAGGGTATGGGTGGGTGAGTGTGGGTGTTTGTTTACACATCCACTCACACTCACCCTCAGTCCCGCACCCACCCACATCCACACATCCATTCACACCTACATCCACGCCCTGGAATTTAACGACCAAAGGGACGCAAGTATACTAACATCAATAGATAACATTATCCATTGTTCATTGATCTTTCTTATCCTCTTTTTTCCTCGTTCTCTTTCTCTCCTTTTTTCCTACACATTTTTCGTATTTTTTTGCTTCTATGGTCAGCCGTTGTTCAGTAGTAAAAGCCCACTTTTTAATTAGCAGAGTCTTTTCGTTATATCCTCTGCTCTCCCTCGATCTTTATGCTCACATTATTATTGAAATATATTCTTAATGACAAGATTACAAACATAAGTGTATCTTTACCTTCTTTCTCATACCACAAATAGTATAATCTAGATAGAAAACCATCTAAGTGAGAAATATCTCAGCATTAACACAGATCAGAGGCTTTCGATAATTATCTTTTAGCTTATGTCTAAACGTAGGCAGGAACACTTAATAATTAGCGAAAGATCTAACAAAATACTAGAGAGAAGGGGAGCAAGAGTACCATCTCCACATTTCGGGGGTTTTGTGTTTTTTTGCTCAGCAGCAGCGATAAATCGTCTATTCCACGGAAAAAATCTTTGCCTATCTGTCAACTTCTGTTCCTAGACATAAAAACGCTCCATTCTCAAATGTCTATCCCCAATCATTGGACCTTATTAGGTCCCTGAATGGCTGACCGACTTCAAATATGCCAGACGGGTCTTTGAACGTGCCCTTTTGGAAAACTAATGGAGGCGAGGTCGAAATCATTCAGTTTGGACCTCTATAAGTCACACTCATCCAATTGTTGGTTCATTTGCTAATGTATAAATCTGTCGCAGTGAATCTGTGAGGCGAGCCCGTATATTATCTTACTTTGTTGGTACAGCAGTTCTTATCCACTTTGCTATCGAATCCATCGACGTGGTGTGTCCATAGAAGGTTGCGCTGTTACTAGTCTCTTCAATGTATGAAAATATGCGTTTTAAGTCTCTGAAGTCAATGAAGCCCAACAATCCTTCTGTAATAGCATCCCAGAATGCATTGATGGATAATTGAGATTGATGCTGGTGAACAAGACCAGATGCAAATGTAAACACTAAGGTAAATTGTGGATTGTACTTATAAGTTTTGATAAAGTCTAGGACTTTCTCATGCTCAAGACCGTTGAGAGCATTGACGAGGTACCTTGCCACAAAATGTTCCTGAAAGCTTCGATGAAGAAAATAACAGTCGACTTCTGATTGAATATAACGACCAGTTGGCTTATCGTTTAGTGTTTTTAACATGCCTATATTGAATAATTGTGAGTGATCTTCTAATGAACATTGTGTCTCCATTTCTACTTTATCGAGCAATTCTGATCCCATAATTATTATGTTGCTCTGCATTCCATGAAAAGCCAAGGTTTCTAAGAACGCTAGTTCTTTTTGACAATGGTCATAAACGGTCTTCTTACGCATATATTCAGTTCTTTTGTTTTGTTTTTTCAAATATTGACGACATAACCATTCCGTAATATTATCATACAGTGCTGTTATTGTATATGCGTCTGTTTCTGACCAGTCGGTCTCACTCCAGAAACTACAAATCAGCTCTAGATTTACAGGAATGTGTACAATACTCCAAATACTAGGTTTCCGTTTTAAGAAGCTCAGAAGCTTTTGGATTGCAGACGATGCATCATCCAATACGTCTTTCATCTGCTCGAAGAAATTCTTGACGTACTCAACAATATCATCATCTTTAAAACCTGTAATTTCCATTTGCACAATGTAAGAGAAAGTATTGAAATATGGACGAGATGTCACGATGTGTTGTGGGGTCTTGAATAACTGATCGAATAAACGCTCTAGATGTGGTGGTACACGCTGCACAATTTCATCATATCCATCCAAAAGCCATAGCACTTTACTCGTACACAATTGCTTTCTCAAAAGCATTTTATCTGTCTCCGAGAGACCGTGATAGAAATATTCCCTTTCTACAACATCGATTAGAGAGTAGATATTTCCGGAAGTCAATGGTGGATAATGTCTCTCCGATATGAAACGTAAAGGAAACAAAATAACCAGGTCATATTCTGACCAAATGGTACCTGTTGCCCATTGATGTGCAGCGTATCGACAAAATGTGCTTTTACCAATTCCAGCTTCGCCGAACACAAGTACATGCTTTGGCGAATTCTTGCATGTTTGAAAAATATCCTTCACATCTATTGAAGTCTTGCTGTCATAGATCTCTTCATAGCTACCAATTATTTTATCACTGTGATAAGTATTGCGAAGCTTTTTTTCTTTTTCTCGTTGCCGTTTGGTTTCTACGATGGCCAAATTGATATGACTTTCTTCGATTGCAAATGATTTAGCCGGATTCATGAGACGTTCAATACGACTATTTTGTATATATTCATGTTTAATTAATTCAAATAGATAAGTTGGTTCTTCGATTGGTTGTATTTGTGAATATCGTTGTAATGGGGCTT